TCCAACTACCCTAATACTGAGAAAGGTCTCATGAGTTACAACTACCATTTTTCTATGTAGGAATGCAAATAGTTCAATTTTAATAAGTCCCTTATGATTTCTCTTTCCTATTTACCTTTTCATGCTTCTCTTGAGTCTTGTATTTGAAAGTCAAATTATCTATTTAGCTCTGGTTTTTTTCATCAAGAATGCTTGAAAGTCCTCTATTTCACTGAGTTTCTATTTTTCTCCTTGAAGGATTATACTCAGTTTTGCTGGGCAGGTGATTCTTGATTTTAATCCTACCTCCTTTGAATTCTGGCATATTATATTTCAAGCCCTCCGGTCCCTTAAGGTAGCTAAGGTCCCTTAAGCTGCTAAATCTCGTGTTATCCTGATTGTGTTTTCACAATACTTGAATCGTTTCTTTCTGGATGCTTGCAATATTTTCTCCTTGACCTGGGAACTCTGGAATTTGGCTACAATATTCCTAGGAGTTTTTCTTTGGGGATCTTTTCCAGGAAGTGATTGGTGGATTCTTTCCATTTCTATTTTGTCCTCTGGTTTCTAGAGTATCAGGACAGTTTTCCTTGATAATTTCTTGAAAGATGATGTCAAGGCTCTTTTTTTGATCATGGCTTTCAGATATTCCAATAATTTTTAAATTCTTTCTCTTGGATCTATTTTCCAGGTCAGTTGTTTTTCCAGTGAGATATTTCACATTCTCTTCTATTTTTTCATTCTTTTGGCTTTGTTTTATAATTTCTTGATTTCTCATAGAGTCTTTAGCTTCCATTTGCACCATTCTAATTTTTAAGGAAATATTTTCCTCAGTGAGATTTTGGACCTCCTTTTCCATTTGGACAATTCTACTTTTTAAGGCATTCTTCTCCTCATTGGCTTTTTGGACCTCTTTTGCCATTAGGCTATCAGGCTATTTTTTAAGGTGTTATTTTCTTCAGTATTTTTTTGGGTCTCCTTTTAGCAAGTTGTTGACTTGTTTTTCATGATTTTCTTGCATCACTCTCATTTCTCTTCCCAATTTTTCCTTTACATCTCTTACTTGCTTTTCAAAATCCTTTTTGAGCTCCTCCGTGGTCTGAGACCAATTCCTATTTTTCTTGAAAGCTTTGGATGTAGGAGCTTTGACTTTGTTGTCTTCTTCTGGTTGTATTGATGAGGTCTAGAGGTTAGGGGTTCTGGAATCCCAAAATCACGACACGTGGGTCCTGCCAGAAAGAATTCGACCCAAGCCTTCTTTCAGCAAAAAACAAGGTTTATTGAAGATTCGCCATATTAGCGAGACTCAAGGAATCTGAGCATCTAGATTGTGAAAATCTGAGCAGTGCCTACATTTTAGGAATCAGAGCATCTTAATGGAGATGACATGGACCTTATATACAGAAAGACTAGGGGAGGGATCTAGGAGTGGTCAAGTAGTCTATGAGGTAATAGAACTCCAGGGGTAGCCCAGGGAGAAGGGAGCCTAGATAGGATTAAGGGTGGGAAATGGCCAGGGGACATAGGGAGGTCTAGGCTAGGTTAAGGGTAAGAGATTGGGCATAGCCACAATGAAAGGCCAGTTGATGGGATTATAGCCTCAGGGGAAAGCCAGAGATTTGGCCATATGGGAAAGTCCAGGGTTTTTCCTTTCTGGGGTCTAGATCCCAACTCCATCAGCATATTTTGATCTTCTTTGTCATCAAAGAAAGATTCTATAGTCTGAGTTTTTTTCCCACTGTTTGCTCCTGCTCTCGGCCAATTACTTGACTTTTTAACTCTTTGTTAAGGTAGGGCTCTGTTTCCAGTGTGGAGGGCGTACTGTCCCAAGCTTCAGGGATTTTGTGCAGCTGTTTTCAGATATACTTCTAGGGACCTGTAAATTTTCAGTTCTTCCAAGGTGGGTATGATCAAAGGAGAGGTGTTCACTCCTTTCCTGGCCTGTGCTCTAGTCTACGAGTAACCACAAGCATTCTTTTCTGCCTTAGAACCATGAATAGGATTCCCTCTCCACTGCTGCCACAAGCTCTTCCATAACAGCTCTCCACCTTGCCCCAAGACCGCCACCCAGGACTGCAACCCAGATCCAAGCACCAGCAAAGCAAGAGAATCCTGCCTCGGCGCCTGCAATACCCCTCTGATCAGCCACTTGATTCCCCAAGGTCTATGGGTTAAGAGCTCCAGAAGCAGCTTCCTCCGCATCAAGGCTGAGCCAAGGCTGGGGCCAGACTTTGCTCCTCTCTCACTCAGGTCCAACAAACCTTTCCCATTGACCTTCTAAGTTGTCTTTGGCGTTTGTGGGTTTAGACATCTGGAAACTGCCACAGCTGCTAGTGATTCAATCACCTGAGGCCTGCTCCAGGTTTGCTGGGGCCCCATCTTTGCCAACTCAGCCCACGCTGAACTGTGCACTCCTCTCCCAGCCAATCACAACATCAACCATCCAGGTTGTCTTGGGCTGGAATTTGTTTCACTATGTCTTTTTGTGGGTTCTGCTACTCTAGAATTTGTTTAGAGTCATTTTTTACAGGTATTTGGAGGGGTTTGGAGCAGACCTCAAGCAAGTCACTGCTTTTACTCCGCCATCTTAGCTCCGCCTCCTAGGCCTCATGTTTTTCACAGACATCTGTCAGAATCATTCTTTAAATTACACCGCCTCAGTACTCTTCCCTCCCCCCATCATTTTTACATGGTTAAACAAAAGTTTTGCATGGAATATTTAAACTATAAAGGTCTATTGCCAAAGGAAAGAATTGACCTGGATTAATATCTGTAAAAGCATAACTTAAGGCACAAAACTGACCATCAACAAATACATTGGTTAATTGTATTGATATCTACAACCTCTGCTTTAAAAATAAACAAAGGAGCCGTAAAAACTTGACTTTATTTTATTACTATTTCATACTTAACAGTTTCATGTACAGTGAAGAATAATTCAATAAGAATAGTTATTAGCATTGAAGAAAAAAGCTCATCAGTCTGTTCCCATCTATCTAGGCTGTGGTGCTTGTGCAAACTCTGTTAGGCCACAAGAAGTATTAAGCACCTGCTTTTTAACTCTTTAGTTTGTCAGTATTAATAATTAGGAAAATGAAAAAAGTAAGGAATCAGTAGGATCTATGCTGCAAATAGAGATAGATAACAAACAGAAATGGAATCTAAGATTCCTATCTCACTCCAATCACTAGACCACACTTTCACAGAGAGAAGTGTGGTGGAGTAGATCTCTGCATGCAACCATAATTTCCATCTTTCTTCTTTAAAAGATTTCCTTTTAAAGCAAAGATGTTTGATTCAGCAAATCCCATAGATGAGCTATCTTGAAATCATTGTTTCATTAAATCATTAAAAATTAGCCATGGAAATTACATGAAAGAAGATAGATTGCGTTCTGTTTTGCTGCTATACCCTAAGGACCTCTGGGCCTTTCTATCTGACTTGAAGCTGAAACCTCCTATACATGTTGTCTCTCCCTATTAACATATTTTTAACTCCTATAGAGTATGGACAGTCTTGCTTTTCCATTTGTATCCCCAGCATTTAGCACTGTACTTTGCACGTAGTAACCACTTAAATGTTGGGGTAGGGTGTGGGGTGAAATGTTGAAAGTTTGGGGTATCAGAATGCATCCAATATAAAATTGATAAAGGGAAAATCCTAGGGGTAGGGGTGATAAATGCCAGAGGAGGTGGGGGGGGGAAGGAAAGGTATTTTGCAAACTGGCAGGATTAGAGTGAGTCTGGCCTGCAGGGAAATACCTGGGGGAAAAGGAGGGGACATGCAGGGAGGACTTTCCAACAACTTAAGCATTCATCAAAATGTTCCCTGCGAATGACCCCAGTGGTTCATCACAGGGAGTTTCTCTAATGAACCCTCACACGGGCTTTAGGCTTCTCCCCACCCCCCCATGCCCCTTTCAGGCAGGACCAGACTAGTTGTCTCTTTTTGCTCTGACTGGCTTGGAAATTCCCTGCGCTTAACTCCGCCCTGAGAAATCCCCTGCCTGAGCATATAGGTCGGCGGAGCCACGAGCTCTCCTTCAGTAGTATGATTGTCGGTTTGACTGTTCGTTCCGCTGTAGCAAGAAGAGCAAGCCAGAAGAGCCGCCCCCTTCCTCCGCCCCCCTCAGCTCCCTCCCTGTGCTCCCGGCCTGTGTTTAGAGCCCCGTAAAGAGCCGAACCTACTGGGTTTTGAACAGCGCCATGTTTCACGCCTTGATGCAGCCCCAGGAGGAGAACCCCCAGGAGCAGGAAATGGAGAGCCCCCGGGACGGGCTCAAAAAGGAGAGGCTTTTGGATGATCGTCATGATAGCGGCCTGGACTCCATGAAGGACGAGGACTATGAGCTGATGGTGAAGGAGCTGAAGGAGATCCGGATTCAGCCCCAGGAGGAGCAACCCGGGCCGCCCCAAGAGCCTTGGAAACAGCAAGTCACTGAGGACGGAGACACGTAAGTGCTGCCGCAGATACCCGGACTGTTAGCTACAGGGATATAGATGGAGACAGGGCGGGGGAACAAAAACTGGAGTTGGATGCTACTCCAGAGCCGCAGAATGGGGAAGTAACTGCAGGGAATGCCGGAAAACGCCTGGCTGGCATTTGCGTTGCCCGAAAACGGAGCGTAGGAACCACATCTTATTCCGCCCTCCCCATCGAGCGAGCAAATGTAACTTTAATTGCCTTGCCTCGCCCGCCCCCCCCCCTTTAAAAAATGAACGAAATCCTTTGCCCTTTGGAACCAGAGCTCGGCGGAGCCTCTGGGCGGGGGCACATAAATTCCCAGGTTGCATAAGGTGACCTGGGGGAGGGGTAGAAGCACACTGGGGCTTTCTGCGGGACTTGGCCGCGCGCCCGGGGAGCCGCGGGCCGCTGCTGGGAGGGGGAAGTACAGGGCGTTCCAGTTGCTGGGGAAGGAGGGGCGGGGCCTGGCCGGCGCCAGCCGGGGAGGGGTGGAGGAGGGTCCGGAAAGTCCCTGGGGTAGTGCCAGGAACACTCAGCTCATAATAACCTCGCGGAAAACACCGGCCACGGCCTTCAGAAACCCCAACTTTGCGCAACCCTCCTTCCTCCTTCCTCCTTCCCCCTGCATCTTCCCACCGCCCTGCTGAGCATCACTCACGGTTGTGGGTTTTTTTTTCTTTTGTTGCCCCATGCTGCTTCTTCAGATTTCTCCACTTGGCCATTATTCACGAAGAGAAGACCTTGACTTTGGAAGTCATCCGACAAGTGGCAGGGGACTTGGCTTTTCTTAATGCTCAGAACAATCTGCAACAGGTGCGTCCCCTTCACAACCCACTTTTTTGTTCCTCCTTGGCCACATTTGACAGGCTTTGGATCAACAAGTGTGATGGTTATAAACCAGATGGGCATAATTTCTCATTTAAACCTACTCAGTTCATTATTTGTCTCTTTGGGGACAGAATTTACATGGGGAAAGGACCATAAAGGTAGGTCTAGTACAACCCTCATTTTGTAGGTGAGGAAATTGAGAAGTTAAGTGAGATTAAGTGACTTAAAGTCACTTTACCTAACCAAGAAGTTTTACCCAGGTAGCAAAGTATGTGGAAAACACAAGATTTGAACGCAGGTACCCTCGATCCAAAAAAATGCTACAGTTTCACCCTAAAGTATTGAAGTAGGAGAAATTTCTCCATCGGTTACATTTATTCCTGGGCTTTGGGTTATAGCTTTTATCTTAATAAGGCAAGATTGGCACTTCCTAAGTCTAGTGAAATGATCCGTTTTTTTTAAGAGAATCCCAGAATGTTTTTAAGTGATCGGGGCTTACCTGTTTTCTTTTCTTTCTTTGGTTTGTAGACTCCTCTTCACTTGGCAGTGATCACCAAACAGCCAGAGATTACTGAGACACTCCTGAAAGCTGGCTGTGACCCAGAGCTCAGGGACTTTCAAGGGAATACACCTCTGCACCTTGCTTGTGAGCAGGGCTGCCTGGCTGGTGTAGGAGTACTTACCCAATATTGCCAAACCCAGGACCTCCTCTCAGTACTACAATCCACAAACTATAATGGTATGACTCCAGCTATTCTCCTACTCTTTGGAGGGCAGTGAGGATCTTAAGAAAGGTCCTGGACACATTAGAATTGGCCTACTTAATACAGAATCTGAGCCCCAAGATTGGGAAAGAATTTGCCTAGTGTCTAAAAATTTGAGACTTTTTAAAATGTCATTTGTGGTTCCCTTATCAGATTAACTTAGTTCAGGGAACTTTCCTATTGGGGGGGAAAGACTAGAAGTCTGGGTTCTAAAAATTCAGAACACATGGTTTAACTCATTTAAGAAAATCAGATGAAAAGTTCCTTTTCTGGGAGTAGCAGGAAATGTTAGGGTTAACATGAATGATTACATATGTTTTCCTTTGCTGTTGTTGTAGGTCACACATGCCTCCATTTGGCTTCCATCCATGGCTACTTAGCAATAGTAGAACATTTGGTGTCCTTGGGAGCTGATGTCAATGCTCAGGTGATTAAAACACTTTTTAAATGGTTATGTGGCAAGGATGCAGAAGAGTCTATTGTTTTTGTAGTTCTTATGGCCAACCCTCCTCCCCTTTCCCTAAATGTAATTTATTTCATATATAGATGTTAAGCATCCTGATTTCCTTGCATTGCAGGAGCCCTGTAATGGCCGAACTGCCCTTCATCTTGCTGTAGACCTGCAGAATCCCGAACTTGTATCACTCCTTTTGAGGTGTGGGGCTGATGTGAACAAAGTTACCTACCAGGGTTACTCTGCATATCAACTTACTTGGGGCAGAGAGAACACTACTATTCAGAAGCAGTTGGGGCAGCTGACCATGGAAAACCTGCAAATGCTTCCAGAGAGTGAAGATGAAGAGAGCAATGACACAGAGTCAGAATTCACAGAGGATGAAGTAAGTACTATTGCAGTACTTAGTGACTCCTTACAACAACCTGTAAAAAAATTAAATTAGAACTAGGAGAAGTGTAGTACTGGGTTCAAATCCTGGCTCTGCTATATATTATATATTTGATCTTTGTCAAGTCAAGGGCCTTTCTGGGCCTTCATGTTTCTTGTACTGCAGAATGAGGAGATTGAACCTCTGAGAGCTCTTCTGGCTGTAGATCTTATTTCTTTCTTGTTCCCTTAGGGCATAGTAGCTCTAAGCCTTGGGGAGTCAAGCAGAAGAACATAATTTAGATTTACCAACTATGCATTTCTTTCATATTTTTATGCAACTTCACCCTATCAAAATGTCACAAAATTAATGTTATATCAAATCTTTATCTTAAACAAATATCTTCTATCTATAAAAATGCCAAAAGAGTCACTCATGTCTCTTTTAAGGGAAAATATCTTTAGCTTTTTTAAAAAATTGTTTAGTGGAGAAAGAAGCCCAAGAATTACTGAACTTTTTTCCTTTGAAGCTGTAGACATTAACTTGCATTTTTTTCTCTCCTTTTAGTTGCTTTATGATGACTGTGTAATTGGAGGCCAACGCTTAGCACTATGAACTGAATATAACTGAAAGAGCATGAAGCTCTACTCTGTATAATTTGTACAGAAAGATATTTTATTTTTCTAAAAAAAATTTAAAACACAAAAAAAGTACACACATGTAGGTTGGCCTGAAACACATTGTAATAGAAGGGTGTTTCACAGCCTGTCCTTGTGAATTACTGGCATGGAACAAGGAAGAAGAATGAAAATTGAAAGAAAATTTCCTGAGACGCATATGGGGTTTTTGGAGAGTTCTTCCAGTGTTTGGTTTGCCCAAAAGAACTGCATCTTCATTATCAAGTATTTTACTGACTTGCTAACCATAGATTCTAGTGACTGACCATAGCTGCTTTCTGTGATTGTTAATAGTCAGATGAACTGAAAGGAAAATTTTGAACTCTGTTGAAGAATTGGCTTCTAATCCTACCACCTTGTCAGTGATGATTATACCCTCTTGTAAATAGTGTATATTATGTTTATTTTGTTGGTAATGTTTTGGTACTTTTAAGATGTATATTTATTAAACAAATTTCTATGTGCAGGATCATCCTAGTTGTTGGTGTTTTCTCTATTCTCTTTATAGATGATAGAGGATTCACATCCTACTCAGATTAATCCTAGAGTCAAGGGAGAATACTTATATAGGGTCAAGAGAGAATAGATGTATTCCAGAGTAGAGAAGAGTCACAGTTAGTTACAAACATCAGGATACCCTAGTCCCATTTGTTGCTTCTGAGAAGCACTGCACACACCAACAATCTCCTTTTGGCACATGATCGAGATAGAGAGGTAGCAAGCATGTAGGGGTCAATATAAGAATGACAAGCAGTGATCTATATTTTTCCTAGTTAGAGGAAACTGTGGGATTTGATGCTTTTTTTTTTCATCATTGCTATCATTTCGCAAAAATCACTACCACTCACCTACTAGTGTAATAGAAAATACACGCTTTTGTATCTGAGGACCTGGCTTTGAATCCCAGCTCTACTACTTAGTACTTATATGACTTGGGGCAAGTCTCTTAAACTCTGAGCCTCAAGTTACTCATCTGCAAAATGAGGGGCTTGATCTAGAGGATTTCTAAGGTCTAAATGTATAATAAATTTTTAGATCTAAATCTATAGTACTGTGTACTTTCCTTGTAACAAAGAAGTACAATTAAGCAAATAAACCCAATACATTGAGCATATCTTGACAGCCTCATTCCACACGTGGTGTTCCTTACTTCTATATCCTTAGGTTTGATCATTACCATGGAAGAAACTTTAAGAATGATAATAACTTCAAAAGTAATTGCAGGAAATTTTAATTTGGTAAGTTATACAAAAAAATCCAAGTACAAACCTCAGTAGAGAAAATTAAAAGGGAGAGGTTTTTGTACCTACAATGCTGGTACATGGTAAATAACCAAAATGCCCGTTGATTGGATGTAGGCAGAGAATTCAGTCTGCAAGAAATTGCGTGAATAATTTCTCAAAGTACCTATTTCTGTAAAATGGAGATAATATTGACACCAGATTACTGGGATAGTCATATAGATTGATATACATATAATGTGTGTGTGTGTGTATGTATGTATGTAAGTATGTATGTATGTATGTATATCCAAATAGTGTAGTGAATAGACAACTTGTGACCTTAGAGTTAGGAAGACCTAAGCTCAAGGACTGTCTCTTACCCAGACGAACACTGTGATCCTGGAAAAATCACAGAGCTTCATAGTACCTCTCGCCAGCTCTACTGAGTTGCAGAGAAGGTTGAAAAAGCCCTCACTGGGAAGTCTAGGATTAAATCACATTTTAAAAAAAGAGAAAATTATTAGGAAGTGATAATAGAAACTTAGAGATTCAAAATTGGAAATGGTTTTTCCATCAAGTTTCAGCCAGTTTATTGCATGTAGGATCGAAGTCCGTAAACACTGATTCCTGGGTTGTCTATAGACAGGTTTTCAAAGGTAATGTTGCATATCGGTTTTGAGACTAACTACATTAATGTATTTTGCTTGTGAAAAGGAAGAAGGAACACACTTTGTGAGACTGCTTTTAAAATCTTTCATGAAGTGCTGCCTCCAAATGGGAAGAAATTTTGACAAAGAGGAGTACATAAAATGCTAAAGATTACAAGAAAACTTCAAAATTTGTTAACCATAACTTAACACAGTGCCTTGTACATAGTAAGCAGTTAATAAATGCCTATTGAATTGAATCCATTGTAATCCCCGTATTTTACAGATGAGAAAAGGAGCCAGAAAGGTTAAAAGATTTTCCTAGAAGGGCGAAGGGTCATATAGGTTTAATATTCTTTGCTGGTCTTTGAATATATTTATATATGTATGTGTGGTAGGGGTGGGGGAGGGAGGGATTGGTTGGACCTATGAATTTTTTTTTTAATTTTTATTCTGATGTTCAACTAAAATGAGCACTTCCATATACATAGTAAAACAAAACATGAAACTGTCAATCTATTATATAGAGATTACTTTTGTTAATGAGTATATAATAAATTCAGCATGTAACTTTTGAACATCTAAAAGCTATCCTGCTTGTCTGTGATTCGTTCTGCCCTTCCTTTTATGGATTTAAAAAAAAAATGCCTGTTAACTTTTATTTGTGTGTGTAATCCATTCCTTTTCCCTCTTTCTCTCATAGCTCTCTTCCACGAAACTGGAAAAAAAATTTTTTTTTTAACAAATATCCATTGTCAAGTAAATCCCACACTAGGTATGTCAAAAAATGTATGGCTCATTTTACAATTTGAATCCATCAAATTTGATAAGTAGCATGCTTCATTTTTCTTTTAGAATTCTGGTTAATAATTGCATTGATCAAAATCCATGAATCTTTCAAAATTTTGTCTTTACAATTTTATTACTGTATAAATTATTCTAAAACACACAGTTCAATAATGTTTTGAGCTTAGTTCCAAATTGCTTTCCAGAATGGTTGGAACTGTTCAGGATTCCACCAACAGTGTATTAATGTATCTGTTTTCACACAACCCCTGCATCATTTGTAATTTTCCATTTTTGTCATCTTATGCCATTCTGTTGTATGTGAGGTATAACCTGCGTCATTTTAATTTATATTTCTCTAATTATCAGTGATTTACAGCATTTTTTCATAGGAAGTTTCTTCCTTTGAAAAGTGCTTGTTCATATCCTTTGGCCATTTAGCTTTTGGTTTTTGTTATTATAAAATTTGAATCAGTTCATTATATATCTGGAATATGAGAACTCATCAGATGAACTTTTAGCAAAGATAATTTCCAAGTTAACTTTGTCTTTTAATGGTAGGACCAATGATTTTATCATTATATGGAAGTGTGTCAGATGATTAATTTAGCCCCTATTTTTTCCCCTAGTCAGTATTATTCAGTTTAGTGTGATTCCATAGGGGTAGTGATTATTTCTGTTATATCTATCTACTAATATACATTTATTAATACATATTTGTATATCTTACATGTCTTGTATTTACAGATAACTAGATAGGGTTAGACTGATTCTTATTTTAGACCCCCAAACTTTAAACTGAGATATAAGTTCACTTGCTTAACCACAGGAAGCTAACTAGAGGACTTCCACCCTTTTCCCCTGATGAGTAAGTGACCAAGCCCAGCTTGGCAGAGATGATCTAATGGTATGGAAAAATTCCCCAGCTATTTTTGCTATCCCTCAGCCCTTTATCATCCCTCTCTATTGCCCAACATGGGGAAATGGCCATGAGTAGATAGCAGGTGACCCTTGCTTTGCCCATCCTGTGACCATATGCCCTGGTTTCTAGCAGCCCTACCAGAGGGCCAAGGTATAGGTCTATCAGCCAATGAGATTCTTTATTTAAGTATCATCTATATCATCTCGGTATCAAACACTGTAAAACCAAGACTTTGAAGAAAGGGCATCTCAGATTGTGAGAAAGATCTGAGGTCCCATTCATTAAAGGGGAGGGGAGATCTCGATCAGGTCTCTTTAATAAATGGTTATTGGCTTGAGGCTCTGCTCGGTTGTTTTCATTACAGATTGGATGTTTTGGGTCCACAGTATGGAAACCCTTACTGATGACACAGATCAGCAACTTGTCTGTAACTTAAAAGAGTTGGCCTGAGGTAACTGCCCTGGAATAAAGGTTAAATGACTTTGTCTATGGTCACATAGCTTTGTCAGGGAAACTGAACCCAAATCTTTTGAACTCCAAGGTCAGACTTCTATGTACTATATATGTGTTTCTCACTCCTTCCATCTCATATCAGCCTCATATCATATCATCCCTCACTGTGAAATGGAAATAATAATATCAACTAAAAAGGGTTGGTGTGAGGATCAAATGAGATCATATATGTAAAGCACTTTGCAAATTTTAAAGCACTATATAAATATTAGCCATTAGTCAATAACAATAGTAACCAATTAAGCACTTTCTATGTGCCAAACACTTTGCTACGTGCTGTGGATACAAAGAAAGGCAAAAACACTGTCTCTACTTTCAAGGAGCTCACATTCTAAAGAGCATGGAGGATTTTCCAATAACTATGTACATGTAAGATATGTATAGTGTAAATTAAAGGTAATCTCAGAAGAAAGAGACTTGGGGAGGAAGGTGGAGAAGAGGCAAGAAAGGCCTGCAGAAGGTGAGATTTGAACTGTCTTGAAGGAAGTCAGGCAAAGTAGGAAGCAGAACTGAAGATACAAAGAGCACAAGTATGAGAGGCAGCCAAAAACAACAGTGTTCTGTGTAAGGAGCAGCAGTGGACTAATGTAGTTGGTTTATAGAGTGCATGGAGAAAAGTAAAGTGTAAGAGATCTGGAAAGGTAGGAAGAGACCAGATTATGAAAGACTTTCAAAACCAGAGGATTTTTTATTTGATCCTGGGGGTACTAAGAAACCCTGGAGTTTAACCAGGATGCAAATGACATAATCAGACCTGCTCTTTAGGAAAATCACTCTAGCAGCTGGATGGAAGATGCATTGGAGTGGAGATAGAGGCAGGAAGAGCAACCAGAAAGATATTGCAATGTTCCAGGCAAGAGTTCTGTACTAGGATGGGTTCAAATTGCTTTCCAGAATGGCTGGACCAATTCACAGCTCCATCAACAATGCACT